TTCCCTGGGTAGCAAAACCACCCTTACTGAGAACCACATCTTTATTGCCAAGTAGAGCTGTTTTCTCCTGCCCCATCTCCTCCAGGGATTAATGGAGCTGTCCCCATTCGATCACATCATCACGGACTTCAAGCGTATCAGACGGCTTCTGCCACACAGCTCCATCCTTGGTTTCCTGGAAGAACCAACTCGCCCTCAGTACGCAGCCTAGGTTGGAAGTGTTGGTGGTCACAAGCTTGATCTCAGTCACAGCAGAGATGTGCGTTGGGCAGTTTGCCTGCCAGAAGACTTGTGGGGGGTATAGGTGAGAGGTAGATAAAATGTGGGAAATGTTTCTAGAACTTAAGTGAGTTGCCCCTAGTCACCCCAAGATTATTGCCAGGGTGTCTGCCTCCCTTGTCTTTGTGGGCAGAGGGAGAATACATCAGAGCTAAGGGGCTGAGAGGAGAGAGGAGGGGCAGTCCAGACCCGAGAAGGTGAGATCCTTGAGTCTTGGCTAACAAAAAACTGAGCTGGCCATCCAGCTCAGGCAAAACAGAGAAGTTGTGTAGAGATGGACCTTCAAATTGCCCAAAACTTGACACACACGGTTGGATTGTCAACAGTCAGGTCTGCAGCATCCAGAGAGGTGCTGAACTACTTTCAGATTCTTTTTTTTTTTTTTTACTTTAAAGATGTAGGGTACAATTCAGGGTTAGGTATACAGATGTTCATTATGCATGTACCCCTGTTGATGAGGTGTACCCCTCCCTCCCCGGCAGTTTCCCTCAACTGTCAATCCCACTCCCCCTGCCCTGGCAGTTTCCCACTACTGCCAATCCCTTTCTTACAGTATTTTGATAATTGTTCAAGGTCCGCTTATGAGTAAGAACATATGGTACTCTGTTCTTTGTTTCTATGATAGATCACTAAGAATGATCGACTCTACATCCATCCAAGTTGCTGTGAAGTCCATATGTTTGTCCTTCTTTATGTCTGCATAATATTCCATTGTGTATACATACCACATTTTTTTAATCCAGTGCAGCTTCAATGGGCAGAAACTTTCAGATTCTTGTAGGAAACAACCCCCTGATTCTCTTAACTGGGCCTTTTATGGGTGTGTCACCGTCACCACTGATACTTGCTCTGATCTGTAGCCTGTGTCCAGAAAGAGACGGAAGAAAATGGCCTGACATTTAAAAACACAGCTTGGTCTCTTTCACGTCAAGGGATGTGTGAGCTGGTGAGTCCACAGGAAAGGAGGGGAGCCAGCAGTGGGGTGGGGGCTGGAAAGTGTTTCCTCAGAGTTTCTGCAAGCAGGTACACCTCTCCACACCCAAGGAAGAGCAAGCAAAGCAGTTCTTGACCATTGACCTCGTGTCTCAGTTTAGGATCCAGGCCTACAAGCATTATTCAACAGTCACCAAGTTCTACCCCCTAATGCCTTAGAGGACAGGAAAAAGACTGATAACACAGGACCCACCGACTACCTACTCGAGGAATCAAAGGTCCAGTCAAGTACAAGAATGCAAACTTCTGAGCAGGCATGCCCAACCCACAGACTGCAGGCCGTGTGTGGCCCCAGGGCAGCTAGTAGTGTGGCCCCATAAAATCTTTTAACATCATGTGTTTTTAGCGCTTACTTTATTTGTGAGCCTATCCGTTTATGTATATATGCTAACTGTATTATATCATTGATGTCAGGCCCAAGACAATTCCTCTTTACTTGATGCAGCCCAGGGAAGCCAAAAGGTTGGACACCCTGCACTAGAGCACTTGAAAAAGCAGCATCAAAGTTGGGCTCGGTGGCTCAGCCTGTAATCCCGTGCCTTGGGAGGCTGAGGTGAGTGAATTGCCTGAGCCCGTGGGTTCGAGACCCGCCTGGGCAACTTGGCGAGACCTCATCTCTACAATAAATCAAAAAATTAGCGAGGTGTGGTAGCGTGTGCCTGTAGTTCCAGCTACTCGGAAGACTGAGGTGGAAGGATCACCGGAGCCCAGCAGGTTGAGGCTGTGATGACCGGGAGCGTGCCACTGCACTCCAGTCTGGGCGACAGAGTGAGACTCCAACTCAAAAAAAAAAAAAAGAAAAAGAAAAAGCAGCATCAAATTGCACAAAGAGCCTGTGTAAATGCTGAGGAAGAAGGAAGGGGAGGAGCACTGCAGTCAGGGGAAGGTCCCTGGAAAGGGTTGGCCTGGATCAGGAGCAGGCAGGGCTAAGAATATCCAGCCAAGCAGGGATTTAGCTCCTTTAGTTTCAGATCCTGGCACCAAGGTCACCTGTCCTGGCTGCACCTCTGGAACAATGACACCTCCGAGAAATAGCCCTCCCCATCATCCCACTGGTCACGAACCAGGCTCTCCTTTAAGAAGCCGCCTAGAGCCCCGCCCTCCATCCTGCCACCACGGGGCCATTTAGATGGTGGGTGCTTCTGTAAGCCCCACAGAATGAACAAGGGCCACTGGACACAGAGTCCAGGGAGGAGCAGCAAAGGAGAGGCCACTGTCTGAATGTGAGACTTGAGACCAAGGGACATTGTTCCCGGGATGGCTGGGTCTGCTCTGGGCTTTCCTTGGAGCTAATTTAGAAACACTTCCCAGGTAGAGGCTTTCTGGAAAACCTGGATCAGGTTTTACTGCTCAGTGGACTGTGCTCCTTTCCTGGTTCTCAGCCTGGACACTCTCCCCGTCCCTCTCTCCGGAAGAACCATCCGTTCCCATGGAACGTAATGAGTAAAATCCACCCCAAGCATCCTTATGGCGATGGTGTCCAGATGTGAGTCTCCAGCCCCAGTGAGACCCCCACCTGACTCCACACTCCCCTCTCCACCTGCACACTCCCTGCACGCTGCCCTCTCCACCTACAGTCTGGCCCTACTCTCTCTTGAGCAGCTCCAGACTGTCTCAAGCAGAGCGCCAGAAGCTCTCCCCCATCCATCCCAGCCTCCCAGCCTCCTTCTTGATAAATGACGCCACCGTCGCTCGCCCTGGGAAACCAGGATGGCAGTTGAACCGTCCATTTCGCTCAACCCCTGCCCCAGTCCAATTCATTAACAAATCCCATCCTTTCTCCAACTCAGCCCTGGTCTCCTTTCATCGTAGACTTACCACCACTTAAGAGTAGGTCATTGAGCTGTTTGTTTACTTTCTTGTTGGGCTTCTTACTAAAATAGGAGTGGGATCAACACCTGGTTTTTGTTCACCGATTTATCTCCAGACTTTAACCAGACAGAGAATAAATGCTTGATGAGTGCTGGTTGGACCGGTAAAGGAAGGAATTCATTGCTAATGACGTTGTCTGGGAGAAGCAGCTGATGGCGACTGGCCTGGCACCTACCTGTCGGGCCGGTCTCCTCTGAACTGAGTTCAGCACTGAGTCTTCCCACCTGTGTCTCCTACCTCTTTTCCACAGAGGGATACCAACCAGAAAAGGCACCTTCCTGCCCAAAATGAGGCCCGCCTCCTTCAGAAAGTAGAACCGGTAGCTCGATTTCCACGGCAAATCTCAGCCCCCAGCTACAGGTTTCCTCCCCGTCTCTGAAGTAAATTCAACTCAGCCTAGGATGGAATTACTGCTTCCCTGGCCTGACCTGCCTAAACGCTTCTGTCCCACAGCCCAAGTGTTCTCTCCGGATGCCACCCTGGCATGCCTGGGAGGCAGCACTGCAGCTTCAGAGACGGCATGGGGAAGTCAGGAAAGAGCTCTAGACTCAGGATACCTGGGTTCGGTCTCAGCTCAGGCCTTCTCATGCTGTGAGAACCTACAAAAATCACTTGACCTCTCCGAGTTCTAGTCTTCTCATTTGCAAATGAAGTCCTTGGAATCCTGCTCCTGAGACCTTTCCAGCACTGACTTTCTGGTCAGAACCCCCAGGGCCAACTGACCCATCATCAGGGCTTCTGGGTGCAGGGTGGAGGCAGAATGACGGAGCTTTCGTGGCCAGTGTGCACACCTGGAGGCCCAGAGTGCTTGCAGATGGCACTTATGTGCAGGGTGTTTTCTGAGGGCTGTTAAGAGTTGTTTTGGGGAGAGTGGCAGAGGGAGGGGTGCAAGCTGTGGAAAATTCTGTATTAAAGAAAACCAACAGGTTTTCTTTGCTACAGAACATCTCAGAAACTCTACTACTATGTGCTCCAAAGAGAGATGGTTTCATGGGTGGGGGACCCTTTATTGCAGAGTGTCTCAGTGGATGGGTGTTTGTGGGCCAGGCTGCTGTCGGGAAATCCCTCCAGCCAGGGTTCTAACAGCCTACAACTGTGCACCTTGATTGGGGGAAGCTCTCATGATGTCAGCTGGAGTGAGAACCAGCACCAAGGGAAGAAAATCCCTGTCTCCAAGGCCCCCTTCATTCCCCACAAATGAGAGAAAGCAGGGAGGAGATGGATGCCTGCATGGCCCAGCCTCCCCCTTAAGGACGATGAGGCTGCACGGCCCCTTAGAGTGGCCCCTCACCCTCCCCCCCTCCAGGAATTAACCAGATCTTGCCCATTTCAATCCCATAGAGTGGACGGTGGGGACGAACAGCCTTGGTCTCAGAGAACCATTCTCCAGTTGTTCTGAGACTACAGAGCCCACATGGGAGAGGCCAGAGGCAGGACCAACAAGGAGAGGACCAGAGAAGTCAGTCCACAGGGGAGCAACAAGGAGGGATGCCCTGAAGCCTGGTGTGAAACAGTACACTTTATTGGCGACAGAACAAATGGGCAGAGAGGGCTGCATGTTATATACATCAGAACTGTGGGGACCATCCCACCAGGGAGGGGACCCCAAGGGCAGCAGAAGGTGGCAGCGGAGGCCACACCTGGACAATCACAGGCACAGGCTGGAGCCAGAGAGAGGGGGGTCTGGAATTCTCATGGTTGGGCTTGGCCAGAGATCTCGATGGAAGAGCAAGAGGCCCAGCCTTCCAGCGCCAGAGAGCTGCTCCCTCAGGGGGCAGAGGGTTGGCTGGGGATACTGCTGATGGCAGGGAGTGGAGGGAAGGCGCTGGGGTGGCTGCCACACCAGCATGCATCCTTTATCTAGAATAGCGCTGAGAAGACTGGGATGACTGCGAGAACTTAATGCTGCCGCCCCGGCTGCTGACCGAGCTGAAGCCTCCGCCACTGACTCCATAGCGGCCCCCGGAGCCGGAACCAAAGCCACTGCCACTGCTAAAACCACTGCTGCCGCTGAACCCGCTGCCACCGCCGATGCCACCACCACCTCCCCGAGCAAAGCCGCTGCCGGCAGCGCTGCCCATGCCAAAGCCACCACCGAAGCCACCACCAGAGCCACTGCCGAGGCCACCGCCAAAGCCACCACCAAGGCCACCGCTATAACCCCCCGCGGAGGCTGAAGTCATGCTGCTGCTGCTGACCACGGCTGTAGGGGAGAGGACAGGACAGTAGTCAGCACTCGGCACCCACATCACTGTGTTGTAACTTCTTAATAATCCACTGGGCCCAAGGTGACTGGGAGCTGATCAAGGCAGCTTTGCACCTGATGGTCACCACAAGTCACTCCAGGGTCATAAGCTATTCACACTCATGCTGTTACATCATTGTGAATTTTTCCAGTGGTTCCTCCTATGGACGGTCAGCTCTTTTTTTGTTGTTTTTTTTTTTTTGAGTTGGAGTCTCACTCTGTCGCCCAGACTGGAGTGCAGTGGCTGCTCTCGGCCACCGCAGCCTCGCCTGCTGGGCTCCGGCGATCCTTCCGCCTCAGCCTTCCAAGGAGCCAGAATTACAGGCATGCGCTACCATGCCCGGCTGATTTTTTTGATTTATTGTAGAGATGAGCTCTCGCTGCCCAGGCGGGTCTCGAACCTGTGGGCTCAGGCAATCCACTCACCTCAGCCTCCCAAAGGCACGGGATTACAGGCTGAGCCACCGAGCCCGGCTGATGGTCAGCTTTTGATGACCCCTGGAGGTCATCCAGCTCAATCTCTCCTCTCATTAACAGGCCCCTATCAGATAGTCCCCACGGGCCATCTAGACCTATGAAAAGTGCCCTGGACCCAGAACAATCGCAAAAGCCAATCCGCTGCTCCCTCCACTCCCAGGAAGCCCCTCCCCACTCCCATAGGGATTTTTTTAATCAGTCGCTTCCCTGTCTTAGTGCAGATATTTCAGAATTAACTCTCATCATCGCCACTATCTTGGGTACTTACAGATGCTAACAGCACTCGGGCACTCTCCAGACATCCTGTTTGAGAAAGCAAGAGAAAGATGGTCCCCGTCACAAAGCAATTCTCCAAGTCTATGAGCCAAGACAGGGAAGAGCAACCGGAACAGAACCCTGGGGCTTGGCCGGTCAGGGAGCTTTCTCCACCCTGCCAGGGGCCGTGACGAGAAGGCCCTGTGAGCACTGGCTGCACACATGCTTGGGTGACCTTGAAGGGTATGGGCTGGGAGAGACAGGTGCTTCTCGGCAAGGCCTCTGAAGATGGGGCCTCTCTCTCCACAGCTGGCCTCCATCCCCATTCACTCGGTCACTTTTTGGGCCCTCGACATGGGACTCCAGTCAGGGGGCATGGGGAAGTGGGACTGGAGGCCCACCTGTATTCCTCGCCCTCCAGCAGCTTGCGGTAGGTGGCGATCTCCACGTCCAGGGCCAGTTTGACATTCATCAGCTCCTGGTAGTCACGCAGCAGCCGGGCCAGGTCATCCTTGGCATGCTGCAGGGCGGTCTGCAGCTCTTGGAGCTTGGTGTTGGCGTCCTTGAGGGCCAACTCCCCACGCTGCTCGGCTTCCACAATGGCTGTCTGCAGGTTGGCATTCTGGTGGCAGAGATAGAAGGGGTGAGCCCAGGAAGAGGGTCCCAGGCCCTCTGTGTATTACAACAGATTACCCTGTCTTTTTTTTTTTAAAGAGATGGGGTCTTGCTTTGTTACCTAGGCTGGTCTCGAACTCCTAGTTTCAAGCGATCCTCCCGCCTCGGCCTCCCGAAGTCCTGGGACTACAGGCATGAACCGCCACACCCGGCCAGGATTACCCCATCTCGAAGTCAGGGAGCACCCACCTCCCCCTGCACCCCCATCTTGTCTCCATCCATGGAGATATGGCCATGTGAATTAACATCGAGGCAGACTTGCTTTTTTGGACTCCCTGGAGGCTGATGTTGCCTGAGATGCCAGTCCATTCCCAGATAGGAGTCCTGGGATCCCAGCCCCCACCCCTCACTGGCCAGCCAGGGCACCGCACCCATGGCCACCCCACCTGCTTCTTGACGTTCTCAATCTCCGCCCGCAGCCTCTGGATCATCCTGTTGAGCTCGACGATCTCGCTCTTGGTGCTTCTCAGGTCATCCCCATGCCTGCCAGCCGTGGTCTGCAGCTCCCCCAACTAGAGAACAGAAGGGAAGACGTGGCTTTGCCCGATTGTTTCTATACCCCCAGCCCCACCCTCCAGATCTCAGAAGCTCAGTCAGCACTTTCCAAAAAGACCTTGGGCAGAGGCACCTCCAGGGAGGCAGGGAGGAGAACATCTGGGTGGCTATGGTAGAAGATTGTTCCCTCCCGCTGTCCCTGAGCAAGCTAGAGTCGGTCCCATGGCAGACACCCCTCTCACACCTGCAAAGGTGAGACTTTCTGCAACTGAATGACCCTTCAAAGAGGGAGATCTCCAGAGGGTTCACACAGTGACCACTGGGAACTCAGCGCCCAGCCATCCCACCAGTCACAGCCCCTCTGAGACCTCCAGTGGCCCCCTCAGGGGTGCCCAGCACCCACCTTGGTCTGGTACAGCGCCTCAGCCTCAGCCTTGCTTCTCTGGGCAATGTCCTCGTACTGGGCACGGACCTCAGTGATGATGCTGTCCAGGTCCAGGGAGCGGTTATTGTCCATGGACAGCACCACAGATGTGTCGCTGACGTGACTCTGCATCTGGGACAACTCCTGCCAGCACAGGGAGAGCCTGTTCACTTTCAAGGTCTCTGCAACAAGCTCACCAGGGCCTAGAGACACACTCCTGGCCAGCAGCCTCATTCACTGACTCCTAGCCCCAAACGTGCACCCGCCCCACCCACCCCCGGCCTCAGAGAACCCCACATCGGCAGCCCATCCCACGGGATGCCTTCCAAGGGGCCTCATCCTCCCCTAGATGCCAAAATGCGCCAGCCTCAAATCTGGAAACAGCCCGCCCTTCCCCCACCAAGAGGCAGCATCCTCACCGCATCATAGAGGGTCCTCAGGAAGTTGATCTCGTCCACCAGGGCGTCCACCTTGGCCTGAAGCTCGAGCTTGTTCATGTAGGCGGTGTCCACGTCCTGAGGGGACAGGAGCAGAAAGGTCTTATTCCCCCAGGGAGGAAACAGCAACCTGCAACTGCAGCAAGAGAGCCGGGAACCAGTGCCAGGATGGTCCTCACCCGGGACCAGTCTCCTCAAGAAAGGGAGACACACACCTCCGCCAGGTGGTCTACGTTCAGTCAACTCAAAAACTAAAGGTCGATGAGCCTCTTTGAGGGGATCTTCCAGACTAAGATGCACCTGGCTTCTGTTTATTGCTCTGACGGCCTGAGCTTGGCAGCTCTGAGGGGAGTGAGGAGAACCTCCCCAGCCAGAAACCCAAAGCTCCCATCCCCAGAAACCTCATGCACTGCCCTTACCTTCTTCAGGGTCACAAACTCGTTCTCAGCCACCGTGCGTTTATTGATTTCATCCTCATATCTGTGAGAGTGAAGAAGGAGATCGCTGATGGGTTTTGAGGTGGTCCTAAACACTGCTGTTTCCCAAAATCTGAACGTTCATCTCTCCCCTCCTTCTGCCCCATCCTACCCCTCTACAATGAATATGTTCTCTTTGCTATCTTCCTGTCAGTTAAGGGGACCAGCCGTCCCAGTTTACCCAAACTATCCTGGTTTTAGCACTAAAAATTCTGCATCCCAGGAAATCCTTCTGACTCAGGCAAACCTCCAGGATTATTGGTCACCACAGCATGAGATGCCCAGAATTCAGATCCTAGAGCCAAGGTCATCCCCAGCCTGGCTCAAGAGGAGGTGTGTCCCCACCTCTAAACCCATACCTCTGGCCACGAATTTATTTGTAAAGCCCTGTGCTTGGAGCAGGAAGGTGGGAGGAGCCAAAGGGACTGAGCTGTAAGGGAAACCAGCCAGGAGACCCCCCACTGCCCAGCATTTAGGAGGCATGCAGAAGGGCCGGACCTCAGAAACAGAATGGCCCCGGCATTTTCCCACCCCTACCCCGTCACTCACTTCTTCTTGAAGTCCTCCACCAGGTCCTGCATGTTCCTCAGTTCCGAGTCCAGACGGCCTCTCTCCCCAAGAATACCATCCAGGTAACTCCTCAAGTAGTTGATGTGGTTCTCGAAAAGAGGCTCGAGGTTGTTGGTGCCTGTGATGGAATTGGTGCCCTGCTGCTGGAGCAGGCTCCACTTGGTCTCCAGGACTTTGTTCTGCTGCTCCAGAAACCGTACCTGCAATGAATTGGGGAAGTAATGTGAGACCCCACCGTCAGGGGCCTTAGCTCAGGTAGGACCAGGCGTCTGCATCTCCGAGTCCTCCAGCACAAAGGCTTAGAACAGAGGCAAAGATAGGCCCCTACTGTAGCTGGAAAAATATGGTCAGATGGTTGAATATTCAAGACACTAGGGACGCTGCAATAAAGAGAAAGAGATGGGAAGGGGAGAGTGGACGTAGCCCCTGCCTGAGCACAAGAGAATTGTAAAGATGACCCCTTGGAGCTCCTGGGGACTCCATGATTCTACCCCAACCTTCAAAACTACAGTACACTCTGCAGAAACACAAACAGACCTCCCAGTATCATGTCTACCTGAGACCTTGTTGATGCACCAGCCCTTCCAAGGCTGTGACCCACTGGGAAGTGACACTGGCTGATATGCTGTAGGTTAGCTTGACTACACCACTATGGAACCTGGAAAGGGCAGCCCCATGTGAGTTGTCCTGCCTGGAGAAGCTCATCCTAGATTGAGCAGGGTGCAAAGGAAGTCACCCACTCCTCAACACACCCTCGGGCTAAGGTTCCACTGACTTCCTGAATCCCTCCTCCAGAGCAACTGCGGCACAGTGACAGTAGGGAAAAGGCCTCCTGGAAAGCCTCAGGGGACAGCATGTGTCAAAAAGCCCCAGGTCTAGATATAGACCCTGCCCTGTCTGGAAGGGAAGCCCTGCCTTGGGCTGCCTACTCTGCCAGACTGGACCTAAATACAGCAACAGGTATGAGACTTGAGCAGAGGTTCAGACAAGCAGGACTTATGGTGTTCGGGTCCCAGTAGTCTTTGCACACCTTCCCTCACTGGCCACAGGGGCAAACTCCTCAACTCTGAATACCTTCCCAGACCCTAGAGTTCCGCCGAATTCTGGCCCATCCAGTACACATTTAAACATGGTCCGAAGGTCAAGTTCAAAGTCCACAGCCTACTGCTTTATCACCTTGTCAATGAAGGAAGCGAACTTGTTGTTGAGGGTCTTGATCTGCTCTCGCTCCTGGGTCTTTACTTGCCCAATCTGGGGGTCGATCTCCACATTGAGGGGCTGCAGGAGGCTCTGGTTGACAGTCACTTCCTGGATTCCGCCAGGGAAGCCACCAGGGCCAAAGCCACCAGGCCCACCAAAGCCTCCAGGCCCACCAAAGCCACTAGGACCACCAAAGCCACCCGCTCCACCAAAGCCACCAGCCCCTCCAAAGCCACCAGCTCCACCAAAGCCACCAGCCCCTCCAAAGCCACCAGCTCCACCAAAGCCACCAGCCCCTCCAAAGCCGCCAGCTCCACCAAAGCCACCAGCCCCTCCAAAGCCACCACCCATACCACTGCCGCCCCCAAAGCCACCTCCATAGCTGCCCCCAAAGCCACAGCTGCTCCGCCCTCCAAAGCCGCCAGCCCGGGAGCCACCAGCTGCCACGCTGATGGAGATGCTCTTGCTGCCGCCCAGGTTGTAGAGGCTGCGGCTGCCAAAGCCGCCCGCTCCACCACGGAAACCACAGGCCCCTCCGCTAGCTCCCCCGGAGCGGGCTACACTGCTCATCCTGCTGCTGCCCGAGACCACAGCAGAGCGACCCGAGAATCCCTGGCTCCCTCCGCCGGACATCTTGCTGACTTGTCTGCTCATGGTGAGGAGCTTGGCGAAGGCGAGAGTGGGAGCGTCAAGCAGGGACCCGGAGTGTTAGAGGCAGAAGAAGGGAACTGAGGGCCCGTGCGGAATAAATCCCTTTATATACATTCGAGGAGCTTGCTGGGCTCCAGCGAAGGAGAGATAATTAATCCCAGATATTCATGGGTGGAGTTTGCCTCCGAGGCAATAAGTTTGTTCCAGTCTACCAAACACACCTTGAAAATAATCCGAAAAGGTGAAAGTGCTAAAGGTAGCAGGCTTGCCCAGCCAGGTGTGGTACCTGACATTGCCCCGTGCCTGGGCGTGGCCACCTCCCAGCCTCGTCCGGCAGGTGACCTGGGTCAGGTCCCCAGCAGCTGTCCCTCTGCCTGCCAGCTGCCCCAGATCCTGTGGAGCTGTGCTCAGCTCTGGAAAGGATGGGGTGGAAAGTGAAGAAGGAGAGTTCTGGTTCTCTGAGTGGCGGAGATGGTGAAGCCCACCCACAACTCTGGGCAAGTGTCTTAATAGAAGGGGGAGACAACCACTGCATAGTCAGAATGTGGTTTGGCTCTTTTCTCTTTTTTACAGAGACGGGATCTTGCTATGCTGCCCAGGTCAGTCTCAAACTCCTGGCCTCAAGTGATCTTCTTGCCTCAGCCTCCCAGAGTTTGGGATTACAGGCATGAGCCACCACACCCAGACAACACACGGTTATTGAGTACCCACCATGTGCTGGGCTCTGTGTTGGGTTTAGGAACAAAGTACTGACTTCTCCCGCTCCCTGCCTGGAAACAAAGCCCAGAACTATTGCAAGTCTGCCTCTTGGGCTCTCCCTCTATCCCAAGCTTTAGTTCAGGAGGTGATGGCTTTTGAGCTTACAGCCACCTTCTGAGAAAAAAGTGAAATTAACATCTATGCACACGGATCAGGCACTGGCAAAATCCAGCATGCCAAGGTACTTGCTGGTTTTGAACACTTCCCGGAGAAGCTATACACTTTCACTCATCTTGAGGCTTCCCTGTGGCTTCCTTTCTTGCTCCCCATGTTTTGGCATTTCTCCGGTTGCAGCCCAAGCCCCAGGGAATAGGAAACTCGAGCATCAATTCAACAGCAAATTCAGCAGATATTTACACATTGCCCAATGTGCACCAGGCCCTGTGCAAGGTCCTGGAGACCTCATTATGGACAAGACACCCGGGCCCCTGTGGGATTGTTTCCTGGTTGAGGAATGTGCTCCTGAGGGCCCCCTACCCCAGTCCCGAGAGATCAGATCAATCTGAGCCGGCTGCATGACTGAACATGTCCAACTCCAGAAGCCTGAGATCCTGCCAGCCCAGTGTTGCTCAGAGGCTTAGGACTGGATTCGGTCTGTCCAGGAGGACAGAGGCCCCTAATCCCTGGGCTGAGTACCAGTATAGGTCCAAAGGCCACAGAGCAGGAGGTGAGCAGACCAGCAGGTGAGCGGTGGACAAGCCAAGCTCTGCCTTCTGTCACATCAGCAGCGGCATTAGGTTCTCAAATGAGCACAAACCCTATTGCAAACTGCACATATGCGGGAGCGAGGTTTCGTGCCCCTTATGAGAATGTAATGCCTGATGATTCCCCATCCCACGCCCTCCCTCCTTTCCAAACCCTCCATCCTCCCATCTTCTCCTCCCCCCGCCCCACCAACAGTGTAAAAGTTATCTTCCACGAAAGCGGTCCCTGATGCCCAAAAGGTTGGGTACCGCTGCAGGAGGAAACCGTCATGCCTGTCTCTGGAACCTGCCAAGCTCACTGCTTATCGCTCCAGGACAGGCCTTTTTTCATTCTGTGCTGCATGTGGGGCCCTGCCAAGGGTGTGGCTGGTGTGGCCTTGGGAGGATCCTCCTCAGAATTGGGAGAAAGGAGGAAAGGACAGGGACTTCACACTCACTGGGTAGGGCTATGCAGGTGGCCCAAGTGCAAAGGAAGTTCTCTCCAGTAGCCTGGCTCTCTCATTTTGCCCTTCTCTCTCCCGCATGTTACCCCTAAGCCATGCAACGCCCCAGTCCCTCCCCAGTATAGAACCATAAGCTTTCCATGAGCTCACAGTCGGGTTAGTGTACTAGGTCCCTGGGACCCAAGCAGGGTGCTTTGCCAATCACAGACGATCATAAAGGTTGGTCCATTGAATGAATGAATGAGACATTCAATCAATTATAATGAATGAATGCAAACCCTTGTAATCCAGGTAAAATTGGTTGAAAGCTGGTTCAACTCCCATTGCATGAGGTAGCCCAAGCTAACTGAGATCATTTATGAGGACTCCGACTTCCCAAATGTGTGGTTCGTATTTAGAAAAATGTGCATGTAAAATGTGTACCACCTCTTCCCCAGTGGAAAAGAAGTGTAGAATCACAGAACCAAGAACCTATCGACCAAGAATGGATCAATCACAGAAGCAAATGGAGGTTGACTGGTCATTTGAGGTCTCATCACCTACCCCCATCTGTTGCTGAGTTCCCATGTCTGGCATCTCTGCCTTCCATCCCTGACCTCCCACAGGGGCTGCTCATGGAAGGTGAAGTCAGCCAGGCCTGGAAGGTGGCCACGCAGACCCCTCTCCTCTGCTCCCTCAGAGAAAATGAACCTGACCCAGGGCTGGACCAGGTCCTCCGCTTGGCTAACCGTGACCAAGGCTATTTCATTTCCCTGCATTTCAGCATCATTAACTGTTAAAGACAATCTCCCCTGTCTCTCTGACTCTCACAGGCACATAGCTAGACAGACGGAATCGCTGTCAATGTTTCAAGAAACATGTCAAAAAATTGGGCCATGTTTTTCCTTTTAATATTGGAGAGCGCAGGGTGGGGGGTCTGCCTTTATGCCAGACAGAAACAAGGTTGCTGCAGGGCCAAGTGTGAGACCTGATGCTCTGGTCAGTGGGTCCTCTAGGAATTCTTCAACCAGTAGGGAATCAGGGTACTTTGGTGTCCCCCATTGGGGGAGGGGGTCGCAGCACCACTCATTCTGAACCATGCTTGTCATTCCTTTGGAGGTAATCGATTAACTTGGAGAAGAATCTTTGAGAAACCGAGTCACGACCGCTGTTGTCATCAGCTAGTCCCAGGTCTGGGCCCTCCTCAGCAACTGGTGGAAGGAGAGAGAAGAAGGGCATGATCTATATTTATTCTGGAGGAGTGGCGGGGTTCGGGATAGCAGAGAAGACGTGGTTGGTCCTGGAGGGTACAAGGAGCAAAATAAAGGCCGGGAACCCGCGAGCAAGACTGGGACATCCATGCTAATCAGCATCATGCGTGAAGGAAACCAGGGAAGGGGAGGAGGCGAGCAGAGAGTTGAAGTTCTGATTGGTTGGGCCCAGGCCCCTGGACTTGGAGCACCTGATAAACATTTTGAGAAAACAGAGTTTGGCGTACACTCACCCTCAATGCCTGGATTATCTGCGGTTTATTAACTAAGGATCCCGAGTGCTTTCTGCCTGGAGATCAGAGTGAGTCACCAGCTCGCCAGGTGTAAAATTGGAGACTGGCAGGTGCTGCTGCAGGAGGCTCTCCCGCCCACTCCTCCTCCTGGAGGCAGACATCCGCCCGGCCTCACCTTCTTCTCAAGTTCCCCATGGAGGGTGATTCGTCAAGTCTCCGGACTTGCCCAGGCCAGCAAGGCACCACCCTGACCCAAGGAAGTTCTCTGTGGATCCAGCCCGAATGCCCTCTGCTCCATCAGGAGGGAGTGTGGCTCCGCTTCAAGCGATCAGTGAAGCTGCGGTGGGCAGGGGCCTCGCTCGCCTGTCCGTCATCGGATGGCACCCCCATCTCTTTGGGCCCCAAGGCATGTTTTAATGCCAATAAATAAATAAATAAATGTGTCGACCCTCGCACATGTCAGAACTTATACTTTCGGTATTCTTTGAAAACATACGCTTTTACTATGAATTCAGCAAGACTCTTAAATAAAATCACAACTCACAATCACATGCATTTGGAAACAGTAACACATGGATGTAAAAAGGCATGCTATTCGTTCAGCCTACAGACACCCGTGCCCAAATGGGTTCTCAGAACCGCCCAGTCTCTTACACATCAGCAATGCCCGGGTGGGGGCTTCTCAGCCTCAGGTCTCAAACTCCTGCTGACTGGTCCCTTCTACTGCCGGACAGAGGGCTGCTGACCCCACTGAGATTCCCCGCTGAGTGCTGTCGACCCCTGTCTTCCTTGCCTTTCCATCCATCAGCCTCTGGCCCTGGCAGACCTTCAGTAGCTAGGACTGAACTGAGATGAACTTGCTCTTGTAATACACATAAACTTCCCTAGCTCATATATGACAGTCCTTTCAATGTTAGAAAATACTCTGAATACTAGATTCATAACACTTAATATCACAGTGATGGGTGAAGTGGCTCATGCTTGTCATCCCAGCACTTTGGGAGGTCAAGGTGGGAGGATTGCTTGAACCCAGGAGTTTGAGACCAGCCTGGGCAACATTGCAAGACCTTGTCTCTAAAACAATTAAAATTAAAATAAACTCATAGCACCTAGCCTGTGATATAATAGATATAATACTCAAAGAGTGTTTTAATGTACACCAAAACTCGTAGGAAGTCCCTACTGCCTGTGATGGGGACACTGTGCTTCTTTCAATGCAGATTAAGATTCCTTTTTTATTTTATTTTTTTATTTTTTGAGTTGGAGTCTCACTTCATTGCCCCGACTGGAGTGCAGTGGCGCACTCCTGGCACCGCAGCCTCAACCTGCTGGGCTCCAGTGATCCTTCCGCCTCAGCCTTCCAAGTAGCTGGAACTACAGGTGTGCACTACCACGCCTGGCTTATTTTTGAATTATAGTAGAGATGACGTCTCACTACGTGGCCCGGGCGGGTCTCGAAACCACAGGCTCAGGGAATCCACTCACCTCGGCCTCCCAAAATCTGGAATTACAGGCTGAGCCACCAAGCCTGGCCTTTTATTTTTTGAGTTGTAGTCTCACTCTGTCGCCCAGGCTGGAGTACAGAGGCATACTCACAGCCACCCCAGCATCAACCTGCTGGGCTCCAGTGATCCTTCCACCTCGGCCTTCCAAGTAGCTGGAACTACAGGCATGTACTACCATGCCCG